ATTTTTATCAGATATACTTACCTATTTTATAAAATAAAAACACAATATAACTTTATATATTTATTGGTTATGCATCCTTATCTCCACTATTTGAGATAATGAGTTGTTATACTGTTGTTGTAAAAAGAAAAAGAAACATTACTTGATTCCAAAATGCAAGCATGCCTAGTATTGGCATAACAGAAAAATATCTTATTAGTAAGTAGCAGACATCAAAGTTATAATATATTGCTAATTTCTTTTCTTTGATAGCGCTTTCTTTTGAATATTTTCACTTTTAATGATTAAAAACCTAAGAGCAACATGTTCTTCCTTATATGTGACGCTATAATTGATTGTGTAGATAAAAATCCTCATGTAGAAAATATAATTATAAAAATAATTAAATGTTTTCCTAATTATTTTTGACACTACAGACAGATTTGTTAAAAGAAAAAAATAATTACGCTGAATAAATCATTTCTTTCCATTTTATGTTTTGTTATAATTAATTAACATTTATTTATTAAATTTTTAATGACAATTATTTTCTGAGAAATCAGTATATTTTCTGCCCATTTTAGTTATTCACAGGCTTTTTGATCCCATGCATATTCTGAAAGAGAAAGGATTAGTCATGAGTGTGCCAAGTAGTAACAATGGTGGAGATAACTAGATCTGACTCTTAGATTTGCAAGCACTGGATTTTGCTGTTAAACACAACTAACTGCTGTCTTCTTATTTCTGACAGCTTATTAAGCTTTAGAGAAAATGGAAAATGAAATTTCTAGGTCAAATAATGAGGGAAGAGGGCTTGGAAAATCTGATACTCACAAGACAGATTGAAGACAAGGTGTACAGAGGAAAACAATGCATAATGTACTTAGTGAGCTTGAGTAAATGTATGGCAGAACAATCTTTAGAGGCAATAACAAAAAGACAAAATTTATTAAGAGCTACAAAGGACAGAAAATTGGGGAGAGCCATGATCACCTAAGTCCTGAAGGGACACGGCACATAGAAGAAAAAGAACAAGCTTGAGTAAATGGATGGCAGAACAAGGCTTAGGAGAGATAACAAAAAGACAAAATTTATTAAGAGCTAGAAAGGACAGGAAATTGTGGAGGGCCATGATCACCTATGTCCTGAAGGGACACGGCACATAGAAGAAAAAGAACGGGCCTGAGTAAATGGATGGTGGAACAAGGCTTAGGAGAGATAACAAAAAGACAAAATTTATTAAGAGCTACAAAGGACAGGAAATTGTGGAGAAACATGATCACCTACATCCTGAGAGGACATGGTACATGAGAAGACTTAGCATTTTCATGTCTATCACATCACCTGTTGTGTCTATGGTTTTGTCTTTTATTTCCAACATCTGCTTTCTAACAGTACCAGATTTAATAACTTTTTTCTCTCTTTTGTTATTTTCTGCTTTCCTTCCTTGCACTTTTATAGAATTTGACCAGAAGAAATTTTATCACAATGAAGAGTATACTACTATTACTACTACCAATAAATTTGATTCCCCTCCTCCTGCCTAATGTATAACAAAAATGCTACAATCAACTTGATTTAAGCCTCCTTTTGTTGAGTCACCATTTTCTTGTTTTGTTTTATGAAATATTTTTTCAGTAACCATTTTCCTCAAAGTCTTTGAATTAATGAGATTTGTTTCGATCAAGACAAGATTTTGCTAAATTTTCTCTTGACACAAAAGAAAGGAAGGAAGGAAATGAGGATGCTTTTGATATTAAACCATCTTTTGCTGTTCAAGACTTGGACCATCTTTTTCTTTCTTTTTTATAATAATCGATATATAAATGGCAGCAATAAGAGAAATTATCTGCCAGACAAGAATCTTCATTAGTTTACTACTGTTGGAGTTAACAACAACAACAACAACCAAAAAAAGGCAACTTCCCTATTGAATCCAGAATGGCCAATTGTAAAGATGAGAAATCAGTTGTCTCTGATTCCGAGCTGGACGTTATCAGCAGCAAATGTTAAGCAATTTACTCTTTATTGGATTATGTCGACAGAAGAAGAATTATTGGTTAAGTAAAAGTTTTCACCAAAAAGAATGCCAATTCCTTTCTTTTTTTTTCCCTTTGCTCCATTTTTTGTAAGTAACAAGAAATATAAATGGCAGATTCCACCATCTTTTCTTTCTTTTCTCTCTCATTTCAACTATGTTTTCTTGCAAATATAAGAGGAGGACAAAAGAATAGAATTTGTGTGTTAATTATCTTAGTATATGGTATACTGAAATTTTCTTGTTCAAAAGAACAGTCTGTTTCGCTATTTACGACTGTAACAAAAAAAATGATTGACTCTATATTTGTGTTTCCTATTCGCTAGTGTTCTTTTCTACTTTGGGTAGCAGTTCTACTATTTTCAGGTTGTACAAAAGAAGCATACATATTATTACATATTAGATGCAAAATTAAGTTTTGTAAAAATAGATTTTTCATGAAAACCTAGCTGGTGTCAACAGTCAGGTGAAATGACTGTTTCTTTTTGTTTTTTTTTTTTTTTTTTTTTTTAATCTTTCTCATTGATGACCAGATTTTTTTTTATTTCTACTAGTTTTCGATTGTTATTTTTATAGTTTTTTTTTTTTTTTTAATATATTTTTTTGAGTTTTGCAATATTCTAAAGTTATTATGAAGAATGGTTAAATTTGTAATCCAGGAAATTTCCTGTAAATGAGTAAATGTGTTTCAAGAGTTGACCACTTAGGACAGATTTGTTATTGTTGCTCTCTTTAACAAAACAAAATCATTTGTAGACACCTTGTTTTATTGATGTTCTGATTCAATGAAATTTCAAGTTGCCTTTTAAAAATTTGTTTCAAAGTCAAGAAATACAAATGGAAATGGTTATTGTAATGCCAAGTTGTATCCTTGTATTATTCCAAATGTTCTTATCCTGGATGATATAGATGTTATTATAGACACAATGTTTTGACCAGTTACACTCTGGTTATCATCAGATGTCAATTGATTGACTGATATGTGATATCTGTTGATCATTGTGATATTTTTCTCCCTGTGATATCAGTTATTGTTTGTTCATGATGAATTGGTGTTTCACTACCAGATCCAAGGATTGAACACTAAATGACAGGAACATATGTATAACCAACTCCTATATCCACTATGCTACCATCCTGAATAATAGTGGTGTATTTTTGGAGCCTTTTATATTTGGTGTCAGATGGTTTTGACATTTGGTTATGATGGCGGGTTTGTACCGCTTTTCTTAATTGAGTCTTTCATTTCTGAGATGAGTAATTGTCGATATTCTTGGATTATTTCAGACTATTTTCTTCACCTTGGTTGATATAGATGTTATTATAGACACAACGTATTCACTAATTTTCTTATACTTTCAACCGCATTTGTACTACTTATGCAGTTAAACTGCATCTTTTTCTACTTTTGTCTTTGTCCCCTTGATTTTGAGGACAGAGTTATCCTAATAGAGGGAGTTGTTTTTATTTGTTTCTTTAAGAATTTAATCAGACCCATTTTGAATAATCTTATATTTTTAATTTATGAGAGATCTGTTCTACTTTTCAGTTTTCTAAAAATATTTTCTTCCAAAATTCACCTATTTTGTCTAGCAACATTTTGGAGGAAAAAAAAATGTCAATGTTTTTTATTTAATTAGGTGTAGAGACTTTTCATTTTATACCCCAAAGATTGTTGTAATACAATGGATCATCCTGCCATTTGAGTTTGAAAATACCTCGACAGATTTTACTTCATTATTCGCTGATGTTGAAGATGAATAACAATTCTAAGAACAATTTCATGCCATGTTTTATGATTTTTTTTTTTAAAAAAAACTTTTTTTTTCTCTTTTTTTTTTTAACAGTTTTTTTTTCGTTTTGATACTGTTTCTATTGTCTGTTTATGGAATTTGGAAGGCCCCTTTTTATAACAAAGTCCTTGTTCCATTGCCATTCAACTTTCAGCTTTCCTATTGAAGCTACAGACCATTGTCTCTTGGTTCTCACTTCACAATATTATCATTATATTCATTCTGATTACATCTCTTTTAAACCATTTTGCTTTTTGTCTGGTTGGACAGCAGAATCATAGAATTGGTCATTCAAAGATAAATTGCTACAGTCTCCTGTAGAAATTTGTTCTATTTGTGGAAAAAAACAAATCTAATTTTAAATTGGGTATTAGTGTGATAACATATGCCGTCTAAAACTTTGGGATACTTTAATCTCTTAGTTTGATTTTTAGGTCTCACTGCCATTTGTTGAGGGCAGAAGAAACTTCCAATGATTGAGTTGATCTTTCAGACCAAAAAAAAGACATAAATAAATTTAATAAATTCTATGAACATGTTTAATTCTATGAACATGTTTAATGCCAAACATCATTTATGTTACTTGACTAAACAACCTTTTTTAAATTCACACCCTGAGTTCATTTTATCCCACCTCCCACTATTATAGATATGCAATTTAGTCTGTTCGTATCAGTGCTGAAACCGGAATGTATGGCTTTCTGCAGAGCATGTCTTGTTTGTTTCGTTTCCAAACACTTGGCACCAGTAATTCTTTAAATATTGTCTGCTACAAACTCAGTCACTACAGCTGCATTGGTATGAAGAATGATTGTTTCAATTTGAATAGATTTCTTTGTTAGTCACAGACAAGTCTTCCTGTTTGTTGGTCTTTTCTACCAAAATCCTCTTTCAATCAAGAAATTGGAAGTGATAATGGATGTTAATTATTTTTGACTTTCTTTCAATTATTTGTTGAGAAAGGTTCTGAAATAAAGAGCTGATATTGAATGTGAAAGCGTCGATGGTGTTAAGTGAGAAATACAGATGTGGCAATAAAGCAAAAAGATGGTTTCTGCCTGCCAAAAAATATGAGAGTGGAAAAAAAAAGAAAAAAAAACCCAAAAAGGAATTGAAGTGTTGAAGGGGGGGGGGTTGAATGGTTGTCTTTGTGTCATTGTGTCTTTCACCTTCTTTTTTCCCCCCCATAGGCCAAGTTGGTACCTCAAGCAGCCTGGTGTAAACGATCTGAACGTCCCGAACTTAACTCTGCAGGCTCTCATTCGGTTAGTTTTTGATTTTCTCTTCCACTCAACTTTTACATGTTGTCATTGTTGTCGTCACCTCCTTACTTGGAATGTTTGTTGTCCTATTCTCTTCAGACAACTGGCACTTGATACTTAACATGCACATGGTTGAGTTGAAAATTCTTCTTTTGGCTCAGTTGAACCATTTCTTTGTTTTTTCTTCTTCTTTTTTTTTTTTTTTCTTTTTTTTCCTGAATGGATCCACTTGCGTTCTTAGTTTCCATGCATGCCATTCTTGAATGATTTCAGTCAAAGAAAATCAAATCATTGGAATTGAAATAAATCTAAATTTAATTTCTTGTCTTTATTTTCATTGTCTAATGTTTTTTAATTTATTTGGCTTGATGAGAGGCAGCTTTAGATAAGGATTGTGTCTCCCGACTGGAGTGGTGATGATGAATCCATTTAAACATGCAGATGTGTCATTATTTTATAAAGTAATTTCTCAGTTGTGAATCAAATCTCTTTATTTCTCTCGCTCTCTCTATCTCTCTTGCACGCATAGAATTTCTGTAAATATTGGAGAAGCCAAGGTTCCAAAGAAGATTAGCTCAAGTAACTATTTACTTTTTGGCACCTGGCACTGTTTATCATTTTTTTTAGACATCTTTTTTTTTTTTTAGTTTTTTTTATACAGAACTGTCTGTCATGACCTGTGTTTCTGTTGGAGAATGTTTTATCATTAGGAGAAAAATTTAATAAATATTTATCTAAACAATCTGTGAGGCGAACAAAACTTTATTGCTATAAACACAGTCATGTTAAAATATGCGTAATGGACATACGAAGACAAATAAAAAAAAAAAATTATAAAAGAGACCAGCTGTCAGTTTATATAAGAAACACCTTAATTAATTTCATAATTACTTTACATTGGCTGTAATTTATTAATAAATTAAGTTGTTCATATTTGTGTCCCTGCATTTAAATATAAATGTGCAGATGGCTTAACAGTTCACATGGAAAATGAAATAAACAAATGCTTCAAATTCCATCTGAAGCAGTTTCTATTCACTTTGCACTAATCTCTTTGAGAAAGGCATGAACTTATCTTTCAGGTTAAACAGTAGGGTAGACTGGGCACTCTAACTTTGGAGAAAGCAACAGCAAACCATTCTTCAAGAACACTTGTTACAAATATTAAAGGATGCTCTCTACAGCTTCCTTTAATATTTGTAACAAGCAGAAATGAAAGACCAGAAGATTGTGTTGTGTCAATCTTTCATATAGACAGGGCTTGCATTTAAAATCCTCTCATTTTACTTTGGCACAGATATTGATCATTGGTGATGATAGGAAATACATAACTACCTCAGCCACTGACCAATCTGTATCCATTTTATTTGATGAAAGGTTCCTGTTTTTCAGTTAGGCGCTTAGCAAAAAATAACGGAATGGATGCAGGTCTGTTATAATGGATGCCAACTCTACTTTAGCATTGGTTTGAACCTTTTTATACCAATTGTAGCTTCTCTTCCTGTTATACTTACCTGAAACTGATAGCAGAGAATAGTTATGACTAATGAAAGTACTACTACTAATAATAATGTCTAATAGTTATGATTAATGAAAGGAAGGACATGAAGTTTCTGAGCCCACCAACATGGAGAATTGAAACTACATCTTATGACATTTGGAAATTTGATGTAAAATTCTGAACCCAGTTCACCCGAACAGAAGAGACAACAAGGATTTGCAATTTACAGTATACTATTAACTTCAAAAGGTGTCAATGAAAAAGTGAAACTGGCAATGCAAAACGAAGAAATCAATATTGACAACGAGAATGCTGTTGTGCCGAGTTTTCATGTGTTAGACAAGTGGTTAAAAAAAAAAAAGAGAGATGATCTTAGTATGGTGTGTATTTAAAAATATTTTAGAGAAATAGGTAGCATGGAGCTATTTCTCAATGATTATGTGAGCAAGGCATTATTACATTTGCCTGAAGCAGTTGCTCTTCTTTCTGCCTGGGGACATTATTACCAATTGTGACTTCTATTTTTGTTATACTTACCTGAAGGTTCCTATCTAGGTGTTTGTTTCTACGGAGGCTATGGTAAAGAGAGTGAAACTATCTACTGACCATAGTTAATACTTTTTTGTACTTGTAAAATCTTTATTGCACATTAGGTCAAATGGGCTAGTGGCTAGATTTTACTTTGCAGTATAAATTAGTCATCAGTTCTTTTTAAATAATTTCTTTTCCATAAAGTGTGTATTTAACCTTTTTTCTTTTCTTTCTTTTTGCCTGTGGACTATCCTTGATAGTTTATCCTTTATATATATATATATTTTCTTTCTTTTATATATATATATATATATATATTTTCTTTCTTTTTGCCTGTGGACTATCCTTGATAGTTTATCCTTTATTTGATAGCTACTCTTTCTTTGTTGTTGCTATTTCTCAGTAAAGACAAAAGTTAAGAATTTCTTTTCTCTTCTATGGGAAAAAAATGTTGTCTATAATGTCTCTTAAGAAATAACAGGTGCTCCAATCATGGTGAGTGTTTTTGTTTTGTTTTTTTTTCCTCACAAGTTTCTTTTTATTTACTTTATTCACTCTTTTTTTTTTTTTTTTTAAGTCTCTTTTGTTTGTCCGTTTTCATTGCTAAATGCATTTACAAAGGAACTGCAACTTGGTTGGTCGTTTAAATTTGAGAAGGAATTCCTTCACTTGGGTATTAACTTCCATTTATTGTTTGCTATTGTTTGCTATTGTTTTTTTGTCATCGCAAGAAAGATTCAGGTCTTTTATGAATTATTATTTTTTTAATTTTTTTTTTTGTACCATCAAAGCATCTTTACGTATAAAACAAAAAGTGGAATTGTTTTTTAATGTATTCCTCCATATCCGTATTTATCAGTGTTTCTTTTTTTCTTAACTCTGAATATTTCTCTTTGTCTGTTTGGTGAACAAGTTTAATTTTCGGATTTGAATGAGTTGTGTCGAAAGGTTTATAACATTTTTGCAAACTTAAAGATCTTCGTAAACTGCACCAATTTCAAAAGTTCTTTTAAAATTTGATATTGGATTCAGAATAAGAATTAATTTTCTGAAACTCAAAAAATCCTGGTTTAAAATGTTTTTAAGGACGGAGATGATTTTAAAAAAAAAGGGTAAAACAAATAATAGCTGTACCCCAAAGTTAAGTAAATGTCTGCATGTCATAAATGTTTGTCATACTCTATTTTTCCCAGTTCATTTTTTTTTTTTCCACTATTCTCAATTCATTTCATCTTCTTGTTGGTTGGTGTTATTGTTTACTTGTTCGGTTTGTTTTCATCTCCAACTTCTGAAAGCTCATGTTTATTGTACATTATGAAAACAAAACAGCAATTCATTGACCCCAGTAAACGTTGACTTCTGGCCATGCAAAAAATTACAAAATGTGTACGTCTGATAGATCATCAGTCAAGGGAAGTTTTTTTGTGCTTTATCAGTTTTGCTGTTGTGTAAGATTTTAATTCAGATTGGATGAAAATAAAAGAAAAAGTCATCAAAATACCAAATGTTTTGAGATTATTGTCAAAATAAAAACAAGCTACCTGTATACAGTCTTTGAATCAGCATATTTAAAGGTAACTAAAGGACAGTCTGATTTAGAATAAAACTTCATTTTTATTTACTGGCAATTCAAAAGTAAATTTTACTTGAAACTCAATAGGAAAAAAATTTACATTGACAATTTTTTTTTTCTTGATACTGCAGAGGGTCTAAGAATTTCTTATTTTAAGGACTGACTTCTTCCTCTAATGAAAGAAATTTAAACATTTTATTTGCATATCACTGTACTTAGATTTAAAAAAAAAAAGAAAAGAACTTGAGGACAATTGTTGTTGGCTGATTTTATGTTCTCACTTCAACTTGTCCATTTTATCACTTTTTGGTTACAAGATGGTCATGATTCAATTGAGTATGCTATCAAAATGCCCAATGACATTGATGCCAAAAAAAACCCCAAAAAATACAGAGAATTACAATATCTTTTAAGCAAACTTTATTTCCTGTTTATATTTTGCAAAGAAACTAGAATTGATTATTTCTGCACAGTTGCAAGTCTATAAATATTCGTTACGAGTACATAAATAGTGACAATTGTCTGTGACTGTTAGTATTAAACTCAAGACCATTTTACTGAATAACTTTATTATTTTCCCAATGTTTTATTTTGTCGATTGCACTATTTGTTACTTGAAAAGAAATGTACAAGATATGCTAAATTAACACATACATCTTTCATCAGCATTTAATGAAAAATTTTTTTTTTTTTTTTTTTTTTTTCCAGTTTGATAAAATTCCGAGGTACGAACCATCATTTTATCGGCAAAATGTAAGTACCCCAAATTATTTTATCTTGGAATTGTTTCTGATGAAAATGCATCATTATCATCATTTTTTTTTTTTTTTGTAATGGAAACCAATATAAAAATATTTTATGAAAGCAGAAATTTTAGAAGTTTTTACTAAAGCATCTTTTATAGAAAAAAGAAAATGTCTTTTATAGAAATGAAATTTTAGTTTATTATCACCTTATCATGTGATGCTCCAATTCTTTTTGAGATTTTAACACTTGTTTCTTTTTGTTTTTATAAACGCCACAACTTAATCTTTCTCCCAGTTTGGAATCATGTTCTTAAAGTTATTTTTTTTTCTTGCATGTATTCTTCTCTTATTTTAAATATTTTATAAGTTTGTAGATTTTTCTCTTTTAATCACTTTTTTACCTACTCAACAATATCATATTGTGAACAATTTTAGAATCTGGTTTTGTTTTTCTTTCCTTCTTTTGTGTTGATAGCCTTGCCAACACAAAAGGAGCAAGTCACATTCGTAAGTTTTGAAAACAAATCCAGAAATGAGGCCAACAATAAGGATTTTATTTTTGCTTACCATACCTCCTTTATTTTCTTTTTTTTTCCTCAGTTCTCTTCTACCGTAAGAAATGCATTCATTTTTCTGGATCCTATTGCACAATTTCAGTTCTTGTGTCTGTGTTTTCAACATGCCAAAATAGAAAGATTAAAGAGTTCTGAAAATATTTCCTGCCCTTTCCATGTTTTACCTGTTAACTACATTTGTATATTTAGTTCAGATTGCAAACAGTACATCTCTGTCTGGCCTGAAGGTCCATAAAAGATAACAAAAGAACAGTCTTGTTTATTACATATTCATATAAATGTATATCCAAAAAGTATCATGCCAGTTAATATTAATTTAATAATAATAAAAAAAAACAAAAAACTACCTAGGGCAATGGCATCTTGATTTCTTCAAAGTATTTCCTTTAGGACCTTTACACATTTATCCCAACATCCTTTGCATTCACCAAAACAGTCTGCAAAATCCTCTTTGGGGATTGCCATCAGCTTCGTTGTTGTATTCTCTCTAATCTTTTCTTTTTCAATAAAGATAATCATAAATTGCACACAGGTAAATTTGAATTGCAAAGTGTGGGAACAGTGCTGAGGATAGTATGGACCAAACAATGTGTACTGACAAACTTGGATTATGTGATGATTTGCTTAAAAAAAAATATACAGAAAAATGTATGAGACTTAGTTGATCTCATTCAGTCATCATGTCACATACACTCATTAAATAGTGTCTCAGTGCTGACTGAGTAACCCCACTGATGTGTGTCTGTTCACACACCCACAATAAGGAAATCTAAGATTACTTGCCAATTTTCATCAAGGATGCACAACCAGTTCTCAGGATATTAAAAATGGCTGAGTACATTCCTGACATAACTTATATATCTGTGTAGAGAGAGGAAAAAACTTGTACATACATAGAAAGAGAAAGAAAAAAAGGTATTTAAAGATACATACTCCATCTCTTAAAATTGTTTCCTCCTAAACATATTATGAAGTGTACATGCTCTCTGAGATAGCACCTGTTTCTAATTTTTTCTTCTAATTAAAGAGATATTTTTCTGGTTTAAGTCTGGACAGTTCTTTCTTTGCAAATGAAGTCATTAATCTGTGTGATTAAATATAACTTAGGTAATCCTGTTTGGCTATCTTTACATATTCTCACTTGCTTCTATATACTTGGCATCTTTGAAAAGATTTGGCCTTTTCCCCAATGCCTACTATAGCTCAAGTAGAGAGAGATGGTCATTTAATATGTTAGAATTTTTGTTTATTTTTCCAAAGAAAAAAAAAAAAATTGTCCTCCTCTTTGCTGCTTTTCCAGGTCTAATTGGAAGTTAGTGAATTATTAGCAGTGGCCATCTCCCTTTGAAAAATCATGATCAATCCAGTTTGGATTATAAAATATGAATCAGAAGTTGCGTATGGTGAAAATCCATGACCTGATGGAAGTTCTCTCCCCTCAGACAAATTGCCAATGTGAAGAACTTTGCCAAAATATTTAACACCTGGTCAAATGGAAGGGAGATATGAATTCACGCCTTTCCCAAGCTCTGTCATGTGAATTGAACAGAAACATTGCTACGATTTTGTTTGAAAAAGGGGAAAATATGTAAAATGAAGAAATAGCATATAGTGACTTCAAGCTTAACTTTTGCTCGTTTAGTTGTTACCATGTGCCAGACTTAGCAAAGCTAAGGAAGTAATTTATCCATTTTTTTTTTTTTTTTTTGGTGGGGGATGCTGAGTTTCTGGCAGGAATAAATTATTGAGTGTTCTTCAAGGATAAGAAGAGGGTGGGCATAATCTGGAAGTGGAGTGTCTCTTGACTAGAGTGGCTTTCATTCCTTTAAAAAGTATCACTAATCTCAGCCTCCATTTTATTTTACTTTCTTTCCTTTCATTTTTATCTACTTTCCTATCAAATTCTCACACGCACACACAGACACTTAAAAGAATTACTTGGTAATTACTCCTTCAGAAAAACCTGATAATACATCAACTTTCTAATTAGGAGTAAATTATTTTTCCATCCACCTTACCCCTTCAGGCTATCCTGATTCACTTTTTCTTTAATTCTCTGTCTTTTTCTCATGTCCTTTATAATTTATCCAACCTCTTTTTTTCAAAATCCTTCCACTTCTTCTCAAGTTGAGGATACTTATTAAAGCACTCAAATAATTTGATACTTTTGACCTTTTACCTTTTTGGCTTTGCTTTTTATTTCCATAAATTTTCTCCTCTGTCTTCTTTCAATTTACTTTAGTTTTGTGAAGTTGTCAGCTGCTAATTCACTTGGAGAACTTTTCATTTCGGCTCTTATATCTATAAGCAAGAAAACTTTGCTTTTATTTCCCCCCCTCCTTTAGCTTTTCAACATTTAGCTCTATTTTTTTTTTACTTTAATGATTTCGACAGGTTTTTGCCATGTGCTTGCAAATATGTTTATTTAGCAATGATATCATTTATCATAAATAATCCTGTTATGTCTAATTTGAAACCACAACTTACTGCAGCTCATATATATATATATATATATATATATATATATATATATATATATATATATCAGTCTGAGCCATTTCTTATGCTTTCTTTTCTTTTCTTTTTTTTTTCGTTTAAATTGTTCTTGACTTGTTTTGGGTTAAAATAATTTAAATCTTGTTTATACTTAACACTTACAGTGCAGTAGGAGATAAAAATTAATTTTTAATTTGATGGATGTCTTGCAACGATTTCTGAATTGGAGAAAGGAAGTACGAACCAAAAGTCAAAGCCTATGTTTTTCTTTTCTAAACAAGATCCGTATGTCAATTAACGCCATTTCATTTGAGCGTGTTTTCTTTCTGCTTGAATTGTGTTCGTTTCAACACGACACTAAATGCACCATGTTGCAGTGCCTCACCCAACAGGAAGCGTCTCCAGTCTTTGATGTCGTCAGGCAAAGAAAATTATACTCTTTACTGATTTCCTTTGAGAAATCACTTTGGTGTTTGTCTGAAAGCAACTTCTCGCTTGATAAGACTTTCCAAGAATTCTTTTTTTTTTTATTTTTTCATTTTCCTTTTTTTTTTCTTTTCTTTTTTATTCTTCTTTTCTTTTTCATCTTTTATCTCTTCTTCTTCTTTACTTTTATTCCGATCCATTCTGCCCCACCTATTGGTGAATTTTCAAGCTCTCCCTCACCTCACAAAAACATGCAAGCTCCCAATCAGTCTGCACCAACTTGCAATCATATTTTTGAGTTCTAAGTATTTCTGCATCCTAAATTTCAAAGAAGAATTTCTTTGATTTCTTCCTTTCTTTCTCTCTCTCTCTGTCCATCTCACTCGCTCTCTCTCTGTCCATCTCACTCGCTCTCTCTCTGTCCATCTCACTCACGCTCTCTCTCTCTCTCTTTCTGTCCATCTCACTCTCTCTCTCTCTCTGTCCATCTCACTCTTTCTCTCTCTCTTTCTGTCCATCTCACTCTTTCTCTCTCTCTTTCTGTCCATCACACTCACTCCCTCTCTTTCTGTTATCTCCCCCTCTTTCTGTTATCTCCCCCTCTTTCTGTTTCCCCCTTTTTTCTGTCTCCCCCTCTTCTTTCCCAATAATTCCATCTGTGACACTCACAACACTTATGACAATACAAAAAAAAAAAAAAAAAAAAAAAAAAACTGCTTCTTGGGTGATAGCAACAATTTTGACAAACCAACATTTACTCTAGCAAAATACATGTGTGTATGCTTCTTTTCTGCTTAAGTGTTAGTCATCATCTTTTCTCTGTTGCCCGCCCAACACTGGCCTGGAAAGGGAGTGGGGGCGAAAGAGAAGGTCAAATAAATCATTTATTATTCCATCTTTTAGATCATGTTCTCTTTGAATCACAGCCACTTAGGATTCTATGGACCAACAAAAGATAGCAAAGATCCGTTTATATAACCTAAAATTTTCCCTTTCTCAATGCACACACCTACACGTCTTACAGACATTTCTTTTGCTTCCTCACTTCTGCTATCAGAATGGAACTTTTTCTTTCTTGGATTCTTGTTTACTGCTAGCGTTAAAAAAATGTATTTCCATGATCTATTTTATTTTTTTATTTATTTTTTTTTTTTTTTCATAAAAAAATCTTTTTGAGTAATTCCCCTTCCGAAAAGTAATAAATAGATAAGAACTTTGTCTCGGTGCTCCTCTTTAGAAAAATAAATGGTTCCATTCAATGAAATGGCATGTTATTGGTGTTGTTCCCCCATCTCACTAGTGTGATTTATTATATATCTTTGCAAGCTATCACCATTTTCCTCGAAATCTTATTTGTTCCAAAACAATGCCAAACTTTTTCTTGCTTCCTTCCTGCTGGCTGTGTACGGAGATCTTGTTAGTAATCCCTTTTGAGTAAAAGAAGAGAATCAAGAAGATAAAAACCCTGCAACACAAGGGTGTACGGCTTATGCCCGTAAGTGGTTCTCAATAGAAGCAAATAGATTCTCTCCTGTCCAGTTATTCATTTTTAAAGAGTTTTTCTGAATTTTTCCCACATTATCTGGAGACAAGATCATTTTGCTAAGCTCAACATGTACTAAATAATTCTTTCTCTCTCTCTCAGCTACAATATAGTAACTTGCACTTTTTTTCCCTTTTAGTATGCTAAATTAGATAAGAAACACATTTTGTAAAAATTACATGGCGGGAAGAGCTGAATGAATAGATAAGAAGCAGAGGAATAAATTGCATCAGCCAATTTGAATTTGCAATCTGAAAGCATGAAAATATCAGTTCTTTTCTTTCTTCTATTTGGGTTGCCTAATATTTATTGAAGAAGGCCAAGAATTTATAGTTAGATTTTTAGTACTTGTGGAAAGAGGTTTTTTGTAGAGATAAACTTGACTTCTTTTTTTTTTTTCATGCCTACACACACACACACACACTTAGCTTAGCTTTTGTTGTATCTGTGACTTGCAGGTTCATATGTTTGTGTGATATTTAAGTGAGCACACAATTCTCAGGGGGTGGAAAATGAGAGAATATTTTCCAGAATAAATAGCTATTCAGTAACTTATTTCATTACCTGAGAATTGTGTGATTGCCTAAAAATCACAGGAACATATGAACCTGCAAGTAAAAAAATGTGTGTATATATATATATATATATATATATATATATATATATATATAAGAGAGAGAGAGAGATAAAAGTTATACTATTATCTATATTTTTTTCAGTTTGGATTTTTACGGTACTTTGTAACAAGTGCTGATGACAAAATGGAAAAAAGATCCAATGCTATGAATGTTGTTCTTCGAAAGGACTTCAGGTTAAATAATTTTTTTTTATTGGTGGCATCCTATGTAGAGTACGATTGAATGAAAATACATCAAACATTGGTTACAATTCTACATCAATTACTTAAATAATTATCGTATTATATAATAGTCTACAACTATTATGCCATTTTGATACCTACACATACATATAGTTGATGGTTCATGTAATGTAAACAGACCACAACTCAGATCTAAAAACAAACTAAATATAATCTTCAGTCAACACCCCCCCCTTTTCTTTTGAAGTCCAGGCTGCTGATCATAGGAAATGTAAGACCATGAAGGTATAAAGAACTTTGAAAAAGCTTGTCTGGTCCATCTTTGTTATCTAAGATCTAATACCAAATTTAATCAAACCTTCCAACCTGATTTATTCAAAACCCTTTTCATCTGCACTAAATACATATATTTATGGCCTAAGTATAAAACAAGGTACTGAAAAGATTATTGAACCTTTTTTATGTCAAACCGACGGGAGAGTCCATTATATACAGAGGTAACTGTAGTCTAATCATCTTTTAAGTATTAAGAAAATGCCTCATCTATGTCATGCATCATGAAAATAGCATATTCTTCCAGACAACACAACATTTTAAAAATATCTTTGTCATCATGTGTTTTTAAGAATTTACAAATATAATCTTAAAAATAAATGCCTATATATATATATATATATATATATATATATATATATATATATATATATATATATAAGATGTGAACGAATAGAGTACAATTCCAACTTTTGTAACATTTAATTTAAAAGAGGGCTCAATACAAAGTAGAGCAATATTATTTATTTTAGGATATTACATCGAAAACATGTAAAAAAAAAAATGCTACACAATTGCAGTCATGTTTTGATACGTATCAAAACATCTCATCTGCATTGATACGCATTGAAACATGACTGAAATTGTGTAATGATTTTGACATGTTTTCAATGTAATATCCTAAAATAAAGTGTGTGTGTGTGTATATATATATATATATATATATATATATATATATATATATGATTAATCAATTCACCCCAAGCAAGGTGATAATGCCACAAAGGTACAGGGGATAAACTTCTACTCCTGTTCAAAAGGCTGAGGAGGAGTGTGAACTGGACAATAGGCAGACCTATCTACTGATATTGGTGTCAAATAAAATGCTAGAATCTAGGTGGAGATGTTAAAAGTATAGAGTTGAGGCAGGCTTTAGCAAAAAACAGAATCCAAGTCTTAAACATCTGCTCTTATTCAAGGTGTATGAACAGGACAATAGGCGAACCTAAAATATATACTACACAAGATAGTAAAAAACATAATATATGACAAACTGGAAAGGCTTTTTTGTGATGCATTTCATTCAAAAGGATTTCATCAAACTAGGCTTTGTTGATGTTGCCACGTCTGCACATGCAAATGAAACAAGAGACACAGGTAGTTTCAAAATTTTTGAAAGAAATTATTTATTTTATATTTTCCTCAGTCTAACCAAATTTATCTGTTTATTGATTATATAAAATTATACAAAATTATATAACATTTCATATATATATATATATATATAAATAAAAAGAAAGAACAGTAAGATATCCATTCAACTGATGTCAGGTTTCATTGTAAAATACATCCCTACCCCTTACCAAATTGTAGCTAATAACTGATACAATGATACTGACATAAGGAAAATCTAGACATCCCTTGTTCAATTTAAATAGAATATTCTGTAACCATGGAAACGTGATTTTAGCTGTGTCTTTAAAACCCGTAATTTTTAAAAGTTACTCCGAAATTAAACGAAGATGAAATGGAACTAATGCTTTTAATTTAATTGCAAAATTAAATTCGGGGTTTTTAGCTTCTATTTTTGAAACATGGTTGGAACTGTGTAGCGAAAAAAACCATATTTTAAATCAATTAATTTATAATATATATATATATATATATATATATATACTTGATTTCTTTTTTGTTTTTTCCACTTCTCTGTTTCAGATTTTCATTTCGTATCTGTTTTCATTTCTTTTCATCATAGCATATAATTTTTTCGTCTTAAATTATTTATTTTGTTGGCAGAAATATTTTATGACTCTTTTTTTTTTTTTTTCATTTTTGTTTACTTACAGATCCCAGGTCTTAGTTTTCATGGATTACCTTCATTGCTAACACCAGCCGGACCTGGTCCTGGACCTTTAAACACTGGTATTCCAGGCGCCTTTCAACCAAAGGTAAGACACCCCCCCCCTTCACTCTTTTCTTCTGTCAACCCTTTTTTAAATACTATTATTTATCCAAGACCCCAAGAAGCACTCAAGGTAGAGGGTTAAAATGAATAAAATCTAAGTTGACCTTAGACTTAAAAAGATTAAGATTTGGAGTCTCCTCTTGGGAGACTGTTCTACAAAGTCACAGTTCTGGGAAAGTTGTCTGAGTGGAACTTCCTCTTTACAAATGGAATGAGGATGAGCCAACCCTGTGTACATAATATGGTGGGCCAGAGCTGTGAACATCTGACCTGTAGAATCTTTGTAATTATTTTTGAGTTGTGATACAAACCTGTAATGTTGTGGCTAAGTAAACAGTAAATGTTGCATTAAAAGAAAGCTTTAGGATATTCAGGCCCCCCCCCCACGAGAGTGTCATGTGGCACAAGGCCTTTTTAACATGGGCATTCCCGAGCCATTAGGCTCGGCCAAAAAATAGCCCATTTGAACCCGTATAAACGGGTTCAGGGCTGGTTTTACCTCCCCGAAGGAGACTTCGCCCTGAATATCTTAAAAGAAAGCTTTATTCTTAAATGATTGCAAGAATATTTGTTTCCTCAGATATTGACAGTCTTTGTTCAATTTTGTCTGCAAATTTTGACTCTTGACTCCAACGTGGTTGTTTTATTTTGACAGGTGTTCCTTGAACAAATCTCTTGATAAATCCTAAATATGTCATGTATCATTTTATAGTTTTAAAATCAGAGTGCTTTGAAATTTCTCTGCATTTTTGATGTTTTGCTAAATGAGGCTTTCACTAAATTTCTAACATTCATAGCTTCAAGGATATTGCATGTACAGATTTGAAACCTAGTGAAAATAGTTAAGGTTTACTAGAGATTACAAAAATATAAACAGTTTATCTGTGTCTTATTTACTTTTATTGTTATAAGGACCTGAAAATGGCCATAATGCAAAAAAAAGATGCTGTCTGCTGAGAGCTCATTTACAAAATGTCAAATACAACATCCAAATCAGTTTTCCTGTTATGACTGAATGGATTATTTCTATCTAGTAACCATATGCATTTATGTTAGAGGAATTTCAGTATTACTGTTTGAAAATTGTTAAATTTTTTTTTTTAACATCCTTAAAATTGCCTAATTTTATGACATCATCAGACCAGTTTGACAGTTCAAGAAAAGTTTTATATTTTTAGCACGTTCCTACATGTCTAAATATCATGTGAACAAGTTTCTGTCTTGGGTTAAAATATTTTTCTAGTACAACTTGTTTGTTGATTTTTGGCACCTTAGAAATTTGCTATTTAAGCAAATCTGCAAGCACAAGTTTTCATCCTATCTTACTTATCCTGTCACCTTTTATGCCATTTTTTCATCCTCCTCCAAAAGAATTTGTCCTTCAGAACCTAACTTTTCATCCGAATTGTTCTTTCTCCAAGGATTTTATCCTCTCTAAAATAATTATATGTAGATAGGACAAATAAAACTTCATTTTGATGGAATTTATTTAAAAAGGAATTAAATAAGTGAGAAAGAAACAACCAAATTGGTGATTGGATTTTCTCTCTGGCTGGAGTTATTATCTGATTGGCTCTGATGAACACGCCTTCAGTTCTGTTAAAATGGTAATATTCTTTTCTGGAGCATTTGACATGTTTCTCTTTATTTTTTTATTTTTTTTTAATGATTGCTTATCCATCCTCTTCATCTTGATAGAGAAAAAGCTGCTTCAGATTTTTCACTTGGTATTTTGATCAAATAATTTTTAACTTTTACCTTTTTGTTTTGATTGTTTGTAGCAAATTGAACACAATCTGTCATGTGACTGATCCATTTCTTTTTGTCAGAATCAGATTTATATTTTCTTGTACTGTTGTAATTCTGTCATTTCCTGTCAAGAACTTCATGAGTCTGCCACTGGAGTTCTTTACTTCAAACGCACACTTTAAGCCGTAATTGAGCAGTTTGGCTTGAAACTGAATCAAAGGAACTCTAAAGATAAAAAAAAATTGTTGTCTTTTTGAGCAAAAAAAAAAATAGGAATGAATTTAATTTTTGTTCTGAATCTTAGAAACTATTTTTAATATGACTAATTAAAAATTAGTAAACAAACACAATTTTCTTTTTATAAATTAGATTAAAATATTTGTTATTCTGTTATGCACAGTGTTTTCCTGCATTTGATGTGGATTGCGAAATTGGACAACATTTGAACATGTCTAAGTTTTTAATTGACTTGTCAGTCAAGTTTATTTGAAAAAGTAGCCCAAAGAGTCACAAGTAATAAAATTTAGTGGCACTCAACTTTCCAACATCGTCAGATTAAATAGATATAAGCTTTACTTACATAATTTTATTTTTATTTTTCCCCTTTTGTAGAAGTTAAAGTTGACATTTTGTTTTTCTTCTTCGGTACCTTCCTTATTGGCCATTTGAGAATATTCTGTCTTTTAGGTTGTCTTTGGTCACAAGGAGGCGGATAATCATTGCCAATTAGTGAGCAAAATAGACGAAATGATGAAAGTTTGGTTTGTCAAGAATTCTCAGTTGATTTTC